TCTTGCAGCTACTTTTGTACATCAGCTAAGGATTGGTCTGCCCATCTCTCTGCTTTTTCTCATCTGGAAAACTTTTCACTCACATATCTCATTATTAAGTTTGATCGCTTTTTAACCCAATAATATATTAACTGATCCTTAATATAAGAACAAATTAGAGATTAAATTTTATTTTAAATATAAAATATTAATCTATTTTGTTCTCCTCATTTTTTAGTTTATTCTTTAAATTATCTTTATTAATTGTATATGTTAAGAGATTTTCATTCAAAGACATGATTAAAATATATATATAAATAATTAATTTAACTAATTTTTTTATCTATCTAAATTAATTAAATCATTTTTATATTAAAAAGAGGAAGTAATATGTCACAGACCTTAAAAGTCTACTGAATTGGATAAATCATGCCCAACTGGGACATCTTTTTCTATTCAATTAATTGACCTTTTACAGTGCAATATTATTCTAGATTGGTTCTCCTATTTGGCAAAAGTAACATTATTTGCTTACCAAACCCCAAAGAATCCCAACATCAATAAATGCTGAGAAGCATAGGATCCCAAGCCTAATAAATGAGCAAAACCTAGTAACATTGCTGTTCTCCTGCAAGATCCATTAGGCTTTTTATCCACTTGGTTAATGCTATCATGTATAATTTTTTTTTATACCAACTTTTCGTACTAATTTATGGTAAAAATTACTTAGGCTCTGTTTGGGTGCTCCAAAACCGTGGTTTCAGAAGCACTTTTCCGCAAAACGAGGTAACCTCCTCCACATATTTACTTTGTAATCCGTAAAAACACTTCTGAAACCATGGTTTGGTTTTTATCCAAACACTACCTTAATAAACAATTCCCAAAAAGGAATGCCCTTGAGAAAGTCTCAATGTGAATTTGGTTCTAATGAGTACATGTTTTGTTTCAATCCCATATTAAGTTTCAGCGGCTGCTAAACTGGGATTTGAATTTGAGCCATATAGTTAATTACATGATTTCCAGTTTTTCCTCCGACTTTGGATTAAGAAGGACATTGAAAGAAAGTAATAAAAGGGAAGCGAATTTATAATTTTTGATATTTCATTCTTGTCAGTCTTCGTTCCAATAAGAACTCGTCAACAAGATGGGTCTAGCTACCTCCTTAGATAAACATAGGTGAGTCGGAAGATTTTGGCTATTGGAAGAAAAGATGAACCAGAAAAGAAAAAGACACATGCCAACCACAAGTGTCAATTGGACACCCGAGATAACTTATTTTAGGAGCGATGGTATTAAAGTTATGGTTATTCTGTTTTTTTTTTGGTTAAAGGGTGTTTGTTTCGACTTTCAAGTAGCCATCCAATTATATCTCTGTCCTCAAACGGTTTGTAGGCTTCCCTATCCTAACTTTATTGATGGCAGAAGGTATCATAGTAATGCAAAATAGTAAAATATTATGGATAATCCCTCCAATTAATTCTGGTTCCTCATGCAGTAGCTTGCTAGTGCAAAACTTTCCTCTTATTGATCATGACGCGCACAAGGCAAAAAAATCTAGAGAGATTCACCAAAAAGTAGAAATATTTTTGTTGAGCTTATTTCAAGCCATTTTCCCCTTAAAATACGATTGGATAGGCTTTTAAAAGTTATATTAGACACTGATTGCTATTAGAAATTTAAAATACCTGGAAAATAAAAATAAACTCAGTTTAAGTTGTTTGGACAACTTCCTTTAGAGTTATTCTTTCACACAAGATAAAAGTATGTTAACTCCCAAAGATTTAATGAACTCTTATTGCGAAAAGTTAAAAAAAAAAACAAAAGAAAGAAAAAACTTCATATAGAACTGAGCAAAAGAGAGAAAAAGAAAACAAAAAAAACACTCAAAAATTCAAGGGGCTGGCTTGCTAGCATCATATATTACTCACTTGAATTCTCTTGAGAATAAGCGATGTGACACTTTTACTGGCATATATCACGCGTTAAATGCAACGATTTTTCTATGGAAGATTTTTTTTGGACACAATACACAGGATAAATACAACAACTTTAGATCCGGTTGGAACATATATGGATATAAATTTTTCTAATATATCTCTATTTCCAAAATTTGAGTTTAATTTGGAATCTCACATAAGAAGATTGATCAAGCGTGGAACCACTCGTAAGTAAGATGGGTTGTTTGTATAATTTCCAAAAGCGGGTGTGTCTGCACTAGAAAATGTTGTATATAGGCTGGGTGGGGGTCATGGTGATCTAGAATTGGGACAGACATCTTCAATTAGAATATCTTTGGAAAGTGATGGTATTGGAATCAAGAAAGGTTGTAGGAAGCAAAAAATCACGAATTTGAGATATGATTAGTTCTTGCCAACTAGTTCATAATCATGTCTTTAAGGACGTAAACATGCTTCTCATTTGTTTTTCTAAGAACTTAATCATTAATTTCTCCCGCTTTACTTGACTGCTTTTAATGCATGATCAAGTGGGATCACTTTTCTTTTCTTTTATTCTTTTTTCTTTGCCCGTCTCTTTCTTAATTCGTTTATTTTAACACCAGAGAATTCACTAAGAGATTTGTTGTTACCCTAGTTGAAAAAAACAATAACAATAAACAAAGATTCGAGTATGATTAAATGGGATCTTTTAATTTCTCGAGACATTTCTTATTCCTAAATCATGAGGGGTTTCACTGAATCCCTACCAACTTTAGACAAAGCGAAAAAGATCCCACTTCAAATCAAAACCCAATATGAAGGAAAAATGATAGTTTATTCTGATAAGTGTGCCCCACTGTCTTTGCGTTGTGGGTGTTTGAATGGTCCTCAAGCAAATCCAAGCAGCATAAGGGATTAGAAGCAAGAAAATTTTAAAAAAGGCTAATTCCCCTCCCCCCCTTTTCTTTTCTCTTTCTTGTTTGCAACTAATTTTTCTAACTTTCATTTTTTTTTAAAATGAAAATTTAGGCCAGCTGAGTTTTATGGATTCACAAAACAAAAAAAACGAAATTGGATTTCATGATTCAAAAAATACCCATTTATAAATTACTCATCAACGACGTCCTCATAAGTGTGTATCAGACCAATCCTTAAACCAGCCTCTGGTGCCACTAATACTTCTGGCTTTACTTAGTGAAAGGTGATGGAGGTGGCGTGAAAGTATGGGCTGGCTTGAACCCTCTTAAATCCATCTATCATGTGTGTGTTTGTGTCCATCTGAAAAAAACCAAACTTTCTTTCTTTCTGGATGTAACATGAATTGGTGAATCATGTGAAGTTGGAGATGACTTTAAGGTCGTTGTCTTTGGAGTAGTTAGATTTGTACCTGTGAGTGCTTTATATCACCCCTAGAATTCCATGGATGCTAGTAGTCAATTGAGTGAAAACAAATCCCAGATTTTGTCACAGTGATGAAGTTGTACCAATGTTCATGATCTTGATTTGTCTTCTTCTCCACTCAGTTAGTTACCATCAAATGTCAAGCTGATGAGAGCTTTTTCCTACAATCAAGGAATACAACAAGGGATAACACAGAAACTTGATAAAGTTCAGTTCTTTCTCTGCCTAAATTATTTTTCAACATATGTGATACGTATTGAGAATAAAATAATAGAAAACCCTCCTTTCGGCCCATCAAGTTTCAACTTTTACATCTTTTGCCAGCTACCCACACTCATACAAGTGCAATGTATATTAATATTTTAGTCTCAAAGGAAAACAGTCCACTTTTTTGCTGAGAGGATTGTGCAATTAAAACGCTTCTAATAAAATAAAAAATGGCATTTTAAATTTGTTTAAATAGTCAATTAACTGTTAATTAGAAAAATGGGAGACAATAAAACCAGCTCCCACTAAAGCAGAGTCTGAGTTTGGCAATTGACAAGTGGGGAAGACTTGACAAATGGATTTTATACTTTAGATTTGTGGTTTTATTGGTTGAAGGGGTACATTTATATATGTGGAAACAGAAGGAGCACCAAGGGAAAAAGGGATAAGTTGGAAAATAAAAAGAGGAAGAAGGGATATGTCTTTGTCATTTCAAAGGCTTGGCAAGTGAAGGGGGATCCAACGGTTCAGGATGCTTCTGGGGTTAGTGGCATACAATCATCCCATTAGGGATCACATCTCTCGTTCTCTGCCTCTTATTTTTCTTTCAATGTGGGCATATACAAGAGAACATTTTCTTTATTCATTTATTTATTATTCTCCAGGTATTTCTCATCGTTTTAAGGACATGTGGGCTCATCATTACTTCCTCTGTTTTCTTAAACATTATCACTACATTTTATCAGCAGAATGGTTCAGTACTGCTCGCTTACTTTTCAATCCACGATCAATAATGGAACATCATATCAACATATCAAATGATTAAAGAAATTATTTTGTTATTATTTTCAGAATGATTTAAATATTCCCTGTGCAATACACAGGAGATTATTCTAATTCAAATAACTTCTGGTTATCTCCTGCACTATTGATTGTGTTTTTAATTCGTTGACTGTCTTGACAGTGTTTTCCTGGGTCTGGAATGCCAACTTTGGTTTGGGAGATTGATATGTCTCGCACTTTTGCAATGGACTGAATAGATATCAAACAAGGCCCAAACTTGGATTTTGACTTGAAGTAATCAAGAAGGTATAGCGTCCTAAGAAAATGCAACATTAAGGCCCTTCTAGTAGTAAGGATTTATTTTGAATGTTATCATTTTTTTGGCTTAAAATAAGGAAATGATGATATTTTTCAAAATTTCTTTTTGTTCTACTCTCGATTTGTATCAAACAAGCCAAATTTTAGAACTTCCACAACCAAAAGTTTAATTTCAGCCTCCAAATACAACAGATATGGAATCCTTTGTTAAAGACCAGAAATTCAATTCTGCCAGTCACACATGTGCTCAGCTTCATGTTCATTAAACGAGTGATGATTATACTATGCGTAAAAGATGATCCGCCCTTGATCTCAAAACAACAGAGAAGATTCAATTAAATATTCAAGAGTCTAACTCAGTGATAAGGATATTTCAATGGCTCAGTGATATTTCACCATTCAGTAACCCATAGACAATGAAAAATTATGTATACTGTAAATATCAACCGATCCAGCAAAACAGTAACCTATTGTCATAAAGATTAAAACTGATCCAGAAATTGAAACTAATGGCATCATGAAAGAGTATAAAACAATGGTTGCCACTAACTACTACTGTTGCTGTTCATCTTGCCAAGCCCATACAATTTCTCTGAGAGCTGGTCTGATCTCCTCTTCTAACATCTTCTGGTATTCTACTGTGTTACCACTAGATTGCTTCATCTCAATCAAATGGAAAGATGGGGTAAACTCAAAAATTTCAGCATCAATGGACAGAGGCTCCATTCTCCCTTCACTAGATTTCTCTAAATTCAGCAACCCTCCATCTATTTTCGTTATCTTCAGCCCCATAACATGAGCCATACCCTCTATCACAGAAACGATAGACAAGGCAGAGTGCAGTGACGTAAATTTCACATCTTTCCTTTCCTTGTTTCTTGCAAAAAGCCCAGACAAATCAAATCCAGCTGATAGAGAAATTATATCAAAAGCATTCAAATTAGTAGGTTGCACCAATGATTGCTTAGCCTCAGAAGTAGCACCACTTTCATTCTCAGATAGACCAAGACTTGGATCAGCCTTGACTGGATCCTCCACATCTGTAACTGATGTTTTCATTTTATCAGCCTTTGAACTGAATCCTCTTTTAAACCAAGAGCTTTCCTTAATCTTTGATATGGGAATTCTAGTATCGGGGTTAGGGTCAAGGATTCTGAACAACAGCTTGCGTGCTTCAAATGAAAACCAGATTGGACATCTGTACTTTGCTCTGCATATTTTCCTGTACAATTCGATAAGATTCACATCACGGAATGGCAACTGACCAGCCAATAAAACATATAAGATCACCCCACAAGACCATATGTCAGCTTTCGCTCCATCATAGCCTTTTTTGTTTATAACTTCAGGAGCTACATATGCAGGAGTTCCACAAGTTGTGTGCAGTAAGCTTCCTTGGCGATGAGAGTCAACAAGGGCACTCAATCCAAAATCTGCAACCTTGAGATTTCCATTCTCATCCAAAAGTAAATTCTCTGGCTTCAAATCCCTATGATAAACCCCATTGCTGTGGCAACAATCTATCGCGCTGATCAATTGTTGGAAGTAATGCCTTGCCAAGTTTTCATGGAGTCTGCCCTTGGCAAGCTTCTTAAAGAGTTCACCCCCTTTGGCATATTCCATGATGAAGTAAATCTTGGTTTTGGTGGCCAATACCTCATAAAGTTGCAGTACATTTGGATGTTTAACCAGTCCCATGACTGATATTTCCCGCTTTGTTTGATCAACTAGCCCAGCTTTTAGAATCCTCTCCTTATCAATCATTTTAATGGCAACATTATCACCAGTTCTAAGGTCCCTTGCATGGTAAACCTTTGCAAAATTTCCTTGACCTAGTAGCCTGCCAAACTCGTACTTTTGCATCAGCACATTCCCCCTTTTCTCCATTTCAGGTACCACAAAAAATAAGACACAATTTTTGTCACTTCTGTGTTTGTTAGCTAGAGATTCTCAAAAATAATTCTTTCTTCACCAGTGATATCTGCCAGCACGAAAGGAATGCTGCCAGAAATTCATCCTGTATTTGCAACTAGAGAGTCATCTGACTGTTTCGAGCCTTAATCTCATCAAGATGCAGTATGGGCTGCCTCCCAAACTGAGATGACCAAAAAGGCGTATTGAGATGAGAAACTAGGGAAATTGCGAGGTGAAGAGAAAAAATACTCGAAACAAAATCAGAACAGGAAACTTTTCATAATCCAATAGCATGGAGCATTTAAACAATCAGATGGGTGGTGATCACACAATCCATTCAAGATAAAGAGTAAACAAAAATAGAATGAAACTCAAAAAAAGAAGTAATAACAAAGAAAAAGAAGTACTCCAATGATCAAACAGAATCACAACAATAGAAATTCCGTAAAGCAATCACGTAACATGTAGAAACACTCAGATACGCGATCATTATAATCCCACTGAAGGAAACAAAAGAGAACAAGAGAAAACCACAAAATTTGACGTGACATGGAAGAACCGTCAGGATCATTAAATACCAAGCAAAGAGAAACAGAACCCATCTAACTCTATGTATGATCATCCAAGCACAGTCTAACCATGAAACTTTGACAGCAAGCATATAAAGTTAAAGCTACAAAGATAGAGAGAGACGAACCAAAGAAAAAAAAAAAATACCGTTGAAGGAAAGGAAAAGGGTGGAAGAAATCGGAACGAAGGATGAGAACAAAGAAGCAAAAACCAGTGCCAGTATATTGCATCTTGGGAAGCCAAAAACTTAAACGTATTAATGCAATATGAATTTGTTCTATAAAAGGAGAGATATGTTTCAGGTAAAACGAATACGGTGAAGGTGCCGTGCGTGGGTAGGTCACCGCACTGAGCTTTCTCTACCTTTCAGAGGTTCCATCATTCGCGGAATTTGAAGGAATGTATTTTATATAATTTTTAATGCGATTAAGTGTCCATTTTTAAGGGTACATGCCCCAAAAAATAGTGTTCCGTGAAAAAGGGGGGACAAAAAGGGAAAAGGCCTTTGTTTTTCTTCTCAAAATACAGGGAACCTCTTCTAGGGTGTGAAGTCACCACCAGATTGCCATCCTCAGCAAGTTGGATTTTTGAATTTCTTCTTCTATTGCTTTTCTGCTGTCCATGTTATCTGCACGTTTCATTTTATTTTTATGATTGTTTTCCCTTCTTTTGTGTTCTTGGTGAAATCTTGTTCTTCTTATATGCTATTGTTTTTTTTTTTTTTTAGCACTGTTCTTATATGCTATTGTTGATTACCCTTTTTACCAATTTGCATAGATTTCAATGTCCTTATTAAATCAATCAAGATATGTATAATCTTCATGTGCAAATCCTCATTTATTTTTTTCTTTTTTTAATTATTTTAGCATACACTTCATTTTCGTATCACATATTTGTAAATTTTTATTTACGACAAGTTTTGAAGACCTATCTTATCTAATTTTTTTTAGTAAGAAAATTTGATAATTCCTAGATCAAAATTTTAATGCTTTCTCCATTCAATTAATTTTTCATGCAGCTTTGGGAGTTAATTAACCATTAATAATTTTTCCCAAATAATCACACATGATTATCAACTCGTGATGAAGCCATCTGACCTGTTTGTTTAGTTTAATGATAAGTAAATTTCATATTTGAATAAATAATGTGTTGTTTACAGATCGGATGAAAAGTATAAGTTATTTTGCATTTAGTCAAATCATTAAAACAAAAAAACATTTTAAGTAGAAGGTGCTTCTCAAATAGTGACAAGGTACTCAAAACATAAAAAATCTCTTTTTTTTAAGATTGCAGTTGTTTTTCAGACAAGCATCGAATATTTTGTTTTCATAAGTACACTTTTCCCTACAAAATGTAAGTGATTTTTCATTTGGAAAATAACCTGATACAAACGGATCTACAGTCTACACCGAGGCATTACATGATATACGCGCGCGTGTCACAGAGAGAGAAGGTAGGCCTCAAGAATTTTTCTTCTCTTTCATTAATTCTAATACTAAAAATACAACCAGATTGATCAATGAGCTCGCGGATTTCAAAGAATAAACCCTTACCTAGTAGTTTCCTTCCTACAAGAAGAATGACACAAGAAAACACAAAGTTTAAAAAAATAACAATAATCAAAATTTGACTCTTAGTATCTGATTCCTTTGGCAACCTCAAAGAAATGAGCAACATTCTCCTCAGGCGTACCTACCCTAATGCCATGACCAAGATTCAATATATGTTTCCCCTTGCCAGCTTTTATCACAGTGTCATTAATACGCTTGGTGATGAAGTCCTTTGAACCAAAAAGAACCCCAGGATCAACATTACCCTGAACTGCTATATTTGGTCCCAATCTCTTCCTACCATCAGCCATGTCAACTGTCCAGTCCAAGCTAACTACATCAACACCTGTCAAAGCCAGCCTCTCCAGCAAGCCACCCGATCCGCTTGCATAGAGGATTAGAGGAAGTTGGGGGTGGGTTTTTTTCACAGTATCTACTATCTGCTTCAAGTAAGGCAAACTGAATTCTTCAAAATCCGCTGGACTGAGCTCTGTTGCCCATGAGTCAAAAATCTGAACAGCTTGAGCTCCACTGTCAGCTTGGTATTGAATGTATCTTGCCATTGATGTTGTAAATTTTTGAAGTAATGAGTGGAGGATCTGTCAACATGTCAAAGTTCGATATAAATTGAAGAATCTATTAATTTCAAAACACAATACGTGATTTGTCTACAGAGATAGGTAAAGTTATCAAGTGATAATAAGATTCCCAAGCCTAAATCTACAGTACTAGACCTCTCTATCTGTTAGGGAATATCACCCAGTTTTACTTGATATAGCTGCAGCACCAATTAGAGTGGAAGGGGTTGGTAATGGTCAGTACAGTTTTAGTATGTCAATTAATGAGATAAAAGAGGCACAAGATTAAGGGCCCAATGCAAGTAACGGTTTTAGGCCGGCATAATTACTAGAGACGGTTAAAAGATTACCTCAGATTCTGAGAAAGCCAGTCTCTTAATTTTTGAGAAGTGTTTTGAAGAACCACCCTCAACTACATATGAGGCTAGGGTGAATGGAGCCCCAACAAACCCAAGGACTGCAGCTTTGTTATCAACCTGAAAGCAACACTAAGGTTGTCAGATTAAAGAAGACAATAAAAGAAAAGGGCATTTTAAATTCATCGGTCATACAGAATAGCTTTAAAACAACAATGATATAAATTAAACGGTTAGATATTTGAAGTCTCTGCTAAGCTCCACAAATTACTTTCGAGACATGCAACAACAACAAATTAACACCAGTGAGACAGACATACAGATTCAACACATCATCTTGATAATAGCCACATGCAGAATGGATAGTTCATTTATTGTTCATCACCTATACCCTTATAAGCCTTTAATAAATATTTTAACGCACTACATCCCAGCACTCATGACAGCCATCGGTCATTCATACAATGCAGTGTGTCGTATCCTCAAATATACATGAAGAATTTCCAGTACATGACGAAACTAAAAAGCTTTTGTCATTAAAAGAAAAGTAGTGAAACGACAGATAGCAGGCATCCAAAGATGGAAACTTCGAAGAAAAGATCAGTCAGACCTCTTTCCTCAAAATTTTGAGTGCCTCTCCAACATAAGGAACTGACTCTTCAGGAACAAAGTCTCTCAATTGATCAACCTGGGCAGCTGTGTGAATAGGATCAAATATGACAGGACCCTTACCCTTCACAATATCAAAGGGTATATTCATTCCAGGAAGCGGGGTAAGAATGTCTGAGAATAAAATCACCTGCATTAAAAAAAGCCAAGGAACTTGATGTAAGCAGAATCCTAGCAATTACCCAAAAAAGTATAGATACATTAATGTGAGCCATAAAACCATCTTACCCCATCAGGCTTGAAAACATTCCATGGTTGTAGTGAAATTTCTACAACAAGATCAACATTTTCTGATCTTTCACGAAATGAAGGGTACTTCTCACAGATAATTTGGTAACTCTGGTTAAAAAAGATTGATGAATAAGATTTGTTATTAGTAAGGAATATGTATATATGTCAATTGTAAAATGCAACCACAAAGAGCAAAACACCTAGAATTAAATTTGGTCGACATGGATGATATAAAGTTAATATAATAAGCTGCTGTCTTTCTAAGTGTTCCCAAAAACATGATTATTGAAAAACTTCCGAACAGCCAAGACCCAAGGTTATTTATACAACCAGAACCGTAAGCTGCGCAAACCTGCCTTCATGTACCTCCCAGCTTGCCTCATGAGCCAAACCGGTGGTCTTTCAACATCTATCCCGCGAACAGCATTAAGCAATAGCGGTTCGGCAGCAGATGTTTCTTTTGGTTCAGCAATTGTCCCTGGATGTGATTTTCCAGAATTTAGCTCAGAAACTCAAACCAATATGCCTTGTGAAGGGAATAATTGATATATTAATACAAGTTTGATATAAACTAAATGATAGTTGGAATGTACTGAAAACGACAACTAAGAACACAAGGGAAACTGAAATAATATGTCTATGCAACTACGGTTAGCTGCATTATGTTATATAGTTTATTTTTTGAAAAGAAATCTTGAGTTATTAATTAATCCCAGGACTATTTGATAGCATAAGAAATTTCAAATAACTTCCTTAGACAATGGTGCCCGGTCCCATTGGCATGAGTAAATCATTCACTTAGTTGAAAGCCTAGGAAATTAACAGATCGAATTAGTGAAAGGAACAGCTTTTGGATAATAAATACACGTCATATCAGATTTCGAATAAACTCATCACTGAGGGGAAATTCACAGAGCTCTAAACTGAATGTTGATGTAAACATGATTTAGTTGACGGGGACACAAGTTCCAAATATCCCGGAAAGGGGGGAGAGATCAATCAGAAATTACAATGGGCTTTCTCATAGGAGCGCATTTCAAATCGCGAAAAGGGTCGCAGCGCAAACAAAATATTACCTCTCAGAGAGCAGAGAATTGGGGACCTGGATTTGGAGGAAAAAGCGAACCGTGATCCTCTAAGCGTAGACGAAGGAACAGAGGTTGGTGTAATGGAAGCGAAACTAGTGTTGATGCAGGACATGGTTGAAGCTGAAGCAGGACGCGAAGTGTGCTGATTGCATTTGGGTCAGCTTCTTTCGAAGGCGCGAAAGAGGTCAATGAGAAAACAGGAAAGATAAGGGATATCGCTAACCTAATCCCTGTAAGAATCCTTGAGACAGTGACCTTCGCCATGTCAGCAACATCATCAACGAATTGAAATTAACCAACCCTTTACGCTCTCCAAAGTCCGTTTGGTACGAAGAAATATGAGAGAAGAGGTGGAGGAGAAAAATTTTAATGACCTCGATTTAAAAAAATTAAAAATAAAGTTAAAAGTTTTTAATTTATTTTTATTTTTTTATATTACTTTTTCTTTTTATTAAAATTTTAAAATTTTATTTTTTAATTTTTTAAATAGAGCTAAGTAAAATTGTTTTCTTTCCCCTTCCCTCTATTTTCCTCATACTAACAGTAGTTTGGGGAAAGGTTATGAATCCCACACAGTGTCACCCGTAAATGAAACAAGGATAAAAATATTCATAAAGTACTTATGAATCTCCTCAACCATAACACTTTTGACAAAATGTTGTTTTGGGTATGTCAAGAGGTGGTTGGCCAAAAAAAGGTTATGTTAAAATGTAGTTAAAATTTGCATTTTTAATACTACTTCCGGTTCTTAATATAAGACCCTGTTTGACTTTTATTTTGATCTTAAATATAAGACCCCAATTCACTTCGTCTCTCATATTTATTCAACTTTTTT